TATTTTTTGAATTTAGCAGCAGTTCCAGCCTAAGTTAATCCCAAGTAATCAAGGAGCATGGAGCTCTGAGGAGGGAGCAGTGCACTGCTGGCTCAGGATGTGATTACAACAGATTTAATCTGCAGATACTCACAGCCCTTATTTTCTAGAGCAGATCCTGAAAACAGCTTTSTGTGGAGTGAAACTTAGCATATAAAGGGATAACAATATTTTCTCCATGCTGGAGAGACTGGAATATARATTTTAGAAAGATCCAGTTTGGTGCTGCTTCATATTTTTAGTACAGAACGTTGGGCCAGGTTCAGAAAATCTCCCATTTAATTATATGCAGGTTATTTAATACAAAAAGTGTTTTCCCTAATTATCAGATGGTCAAACTGCTCCTTGTACTTTTGTAGCTCTTTAAGTGACTGAAATATGACTGTTGAGAGCTCTGAGCTGTGTTTGCCTTGTGAGCAGAGACTTTTCTGGGGGATAAGACCTTCACTTCCTTGAGGTTTCAGAAGCAAATCATGGCACTGCAGGCATCAGACACCAAATCTTAAATTCCTGTTAAATCATAAATCACAGAATGGTTTGGGTGGGAAGGGACCTTAAGGACCATCCAGTCCCACCCCCTGCCATGGGCAGGGGCAAATTCCACTGTCCCAGGTTGCTCCAAGCTTCATCCAACATTGAAATGTGAGGCCTTGGACAATTCCAGGGATCCAGGGGTAGCCACAGCTTCTCTGGGAACCCTGTGCCAGGGTCTCCCCACCCTCACAGTGGTGTAATATTTATCATTTAATACTTCCACTCTCTGCCACATCAAAAGGGTGGAATAAATGAAAATAAAACCAAGCTTGCAAATAGCAAGTAAATTGTGGTTGTTTCTTGAAAGGTGCCCCTGCAGATGTAATTGCCACTAATGGGATTTTGCCTTGCAGGAAAAGCTGTGACATTTCTCCTGCCTTAGAGGATCCCGTTCTTCTGAGACTCTTTTTTCMTGTTCTGCTGCAGGTTTGTGGGCTCCCTGGGCACCATCGTCATCAAATGCAAAGATCTGAGGATTATCCAGCTGGACATCCCTGGGATGGAGGAGTGTCTGAACATTGCCAGCTCCATCGAGGTGAGGAGTTACCATCAGCCATGAAACCTGCAAGTCTTGCACTCACCTCAGCCCTACCTCACTTAGCTTGTTTTTTCTGTTAGAAATGTTTTCATTCCTGTTKTGGAAGACAAAAGTGAATCTGGAATATTTCACATGGGGTTGTGGGGCATTTCCCAGAGGTTTTGGACTCTGCCTCCCTGGAAGTGTCCAAGGTCATGTTGGATGGGGCTTGGAGCAAGCTGGGGTACTGGAAGGTGTCCCTGCCCATGGCAAGGGATGGAATGGAATGATCTTTAAGGTTCCTTCCAACCCCARCCYGTGATTTCATGATTTYTCKTGTCCACACAGGCACTCTCCACCCTGGATTCAGTCACACTCATGTATCCCTTCTTCTACCGGCCCATGTTTGAGGTTGTGGAAGATGGCTGGTCCTCTTTCCTGCTGGAACAAGAGTTTGAGCACCTCAGTTCAGTGGTGAGTTGGATTTGAAGGATTTKCCCAGGCACTCAGATGTTCTGTGAACTGTTTCACCCAGAAATGGCTGGACTGGAAATCCTGGGTGGTTAAAAATCCATCTGGTGCCTGGGGTGAGAAGTGAATGTTGTTGAACCATTCCCTCTGTAACATCAGACGTTTGTTGTTTCACCTTGAGCCAGTTGAAATGTGAGACCTTTTTTCCAGAACACATGAAGGTGGGAAAAGTTTTAGGCCTTTGGTGATGGTTCTCTAATTGGAAGAACAAAATTAAGCCCTTTAGTCTAGGTTTGTTGTTCTTAACTTTGCACCTGGAGTGGAGTGAGATGAACTTTTGTCAAACCCTTCATTGAAATTACATTGGTTTAAAATAATTGCTGTCTCTAGGACAACAGCAAAAATGCCCAGTTTGAAATACTTTTTCCTCTAGTTCATGCTGGGGAAATATTCTGGAAGTTCAGAAAGCAGGAAACTTCCAGTCCTCTTTTTCTAGCTGCTCTTGAGCACATTGATTATTATTTTGGTACCTGAAGGGTAGGATTTGTTCTTGTGGCATTGCCTGTTGTATCTCTTATTGAAATTCTCTTTTAAGGGTGCTGGATTTGGTAGAGTGGGATCATCTTGGTTGCAGGAACCTTTTTTAATAATTCCTTGGATCTGCATCTCTGTGTTCCAGGCCTTTGTTTCACATCCAGTCTGTGCTCTTGCTCCATCAGCTCAGGTTTCTGAGCCCACATCCATTAGATGCAGCATCCCAGAACATTGATTTTTTTTTTTTGTTTTTTTTTTTTTTTTTTTTTTTTTTTTTTTTCTGCAGCCCAGCTTGTCTGCAGCCTGTATCACTTCCTGGCTATGACTAATAACTGAATAATGTCATCAGCTTGACCAAATTCAGTTGATGAAATCACCAGGAAATTAAAGGGGTTCAGAGGCCTTGCTATTTTTGTCTCATAATTTAACCACTCTCATGTGTCTTATCTYCCTCTGCCATCCAGAGACAGACTAACTGACCTGTTATCATAACCCAGCACATGGGTTCATTGATGTGCTTTTTTTCATTATTTTTTCAGAGATTTCAAACTTCATTTATCAATCTCTTGCCYTTCTGAACATATTCCCCTTGTAAGAATTACATTTAAAAACCTCATTACTTTTAGCACCATGTCTCCAGGGCAATCATTCATTCCTTTGAAACCTCCATGTCTGACAGCTGTTGATTAATTCCTGGCTTTTAASACAAAACTTCACATTTTTAACAAAATGGTGTCAAAAGCCACCTTCCAATGATTTACCTTTCCTGAACAACAGATWAATATCTTGTTGACTAAATAATTCTTGTTCTGTAATGGAACTGCCTTATGTGACAGGCTAGAACAGGGAAATAKCTGATTTAAATCTTTCTCCCTTAAGTTAAATGAGTAGAATTCCAAAGGTTYCTGCCTCTCTGCTGCATCATCCATCTGGATCTGTTGTCCTTTACCCTCCCCAACAGGATAAGTCAAAAACAGTATTTCACCCACCCTACAGCTCTAGMAATGTATTAATTCCACATTTATCTCTTACAGGAGTTGTTTTCAAACATGGGAATTCTCTAATGGCAAAGTAAAGTGTAAAAGTTAATTTTTTTAAGTTAGGTAATTAATTAAATATTTAGATTACATAATATGTTATTTATATTATTCACTGCATGACTATGGAATTCAGAGTATGTGTAGGGGCTTCATATTTTCTCTGAGCAGTCAGAGAAGAGCCAAGAGGTTTCTCTTCTGCCAAATTCCACAACTGCATGACACTGCAAACTAACTCTGGAAATTCACGTTCCTAAAATAAAGTGAAGAGGCCATGAGAAGTKTGTACACTGGCAGTATAATTAACATATTATTGCAAAAAAAATAATTTTCTTCATTCTCTTTTCTTTCCCATTTTCCTTCTTTTTCTTTCCTCTTTTTTTCCCCTCCTTTATTCTTTATCTCTTTCCATTTTTTCTTCCCCCTGCATTCTTTTTTCTCCCTCTTTTTTTTTTCTTCCCCCTCTTTTTCTCTTCTTTTTTCCCCCCTTTTTTATTCCTTTTTCTCTGTTTTCTTTCCTCTGCCCTCCGTTTTTTTCTTTCCTGTTTTTAGCAGGAAAGAACTCAGCATTCTGAACAATTCAGTTGTGCTTCATCTTCATCTTGCAGCTTCTTTAAAAACAGAATTTTCTGGGTTGGGGCTCAGSTTACAATGGTAATTGTGAACCACATTTTGTTTTTTTCAGACAAGCACCAATTTTTGCATTTGTTCTGCTCCTTGTCTGTGCACAATCTGATCTCAACARGGCTTGTTCCTTAAGTTCCTTGGGAATGGCCTCTGGCATTGCTGCTTTGCAGGATCCCTCAAGGTTCACGCTGGGTTCCCTCTTTTTTTGTTTTTTTCAAGGCCTATTGGTAGAGTTTGAATTGTTTCCTGATATTTTGTGGAAAATGGTCTCTCCTGGCAATTCTAAGTTTTGGGAGGAGGGCTAGCTTGGACAATTGGGAATCAATATTTCTGTAAGCAACCACTAGGACAAGAAAAGTAGAAATCCAGGAGCTGATCCTGCCCTGGGGTTAAGCATCATTCCTTTCTTTTTTCTTTGGAGTCCATTCTTCTTTCTGCTCAGCCCTCATCCTTTTGCCTTAACTGTTTTGAATTCCTAAAAGCATGGATGTCTTGCTGGGAGAATTAAATGTTAATTTTGCACTCCATGAGTTTCACACAGCACAGTTACCTGGTGATGGCTGAAAGTGAGGTCCCTCCTGCCGTCCTGGTGCTGCCTCACTCTTCCAGTTACTGATGGCCCTTTTTGCTTCCCAATSCCAGCCAGGCAAAAGCTACAGAGAGTTGATTTGGGCAGTCTGGAGCTGGCACTGCAGAGGTTAATGGGATGTYTGCAGCAGGAGCTGGGGTGGGGAAGACAAATGGTGCCAAGTGCTGCCAGGCTCCTCGTCCTTCCCATGGAAATGATCCCAGGATGACATAACAGATCGTCTGTCTCTGTTATAAATGGGGAGGAGAGCAGGTTGTGGGCAGGGTTCAGTTACCAGAGTGGGAGATAAATCATGTGCTGCTCTTCCATTCCTTTCCATACTGGGGATCCCAGTGACAGCCAGCCTCCCAAACATTCCACACAGTTCTGGTTTTGCCTTTTCCATATCCTGTGTGATAGTGAGTTATTTATCAGTTTTAGATTCTAGATCTGTGTGTATCTTTTCACAGTAATCACATTTCACACCATCCTATGTAAATTAGCATAGACACCCAAAAAAAACTATTAAAAATCCCATTGTTGGTGCATTAAAAACTGGAGCTGTGACCAACCACATCCCTTTTGTGACCCAGAACTTTTCATCTCTGCTCATAACATGATGGCCAGAGGCAAATTGAGTTTGCATCTGGGAGAGGCTCTGCTTTTCATAAAATGGAGCTGTTCAGAGAAGCTGTTTTGAGGCTARTGAATAATGAAATAAGGTTACAGCAGGGATGGTGCAAACTTGTCCAGCTGGGCTGCTGCAAACAGGCAGCAATTGCTGCTCTCGATGCTGATGTTTRTTTTTTCCCAGCATCTTTCTTAGGCTGCCACCAAAAAGGACAATTTTCCTGTCTCCTGAGCCACACATCCCATGCCTTGGAGCTGCTGCTGATGAAACAGGCAGTGACCAGAGCCAGTCAGGTGGATTTATATAAGCAGGTAGCAATTAGGAGGTGTATGGCTAGAGGGAGGAAGGATTTGGAAGGCAGGAAACAGGAAAACAGGCCTAATTCTGATCAGAGATGTGCAATTAATGCACATTAACCCAACAGATCTGAATTGATGTGGGTTTTGTGTGTTTTGTCACAGCCCAATTTAGCTGTTATGSTCTTCTGTCCTACCTTCTTTATCCCTCTGCCTTTTTGTCTGGCTCAACCTTTTCTTGAACTCAGATGAGCAGAGATTTTATGGATCTCTCTGAGGTATCTCCCTGCTGCAGAAGCTCCTTGTTGACCTTTCTGCCCAAGCTGGAGCCAAGGCTTGTGAGTGACCCTGGGTATCAGGTAGCTGGGATTCTCATGCCAAATGCCTGTGAGGTGTCACATTCAGCACTYCTTTTCCAAGGCTTTGGCTGTTGGAAGCTGTAAAGTTACATAACAGGAGCTCATGATGAGACCTTGGATGCTGGGCTGCTTCCAGAAGTGCTTTTGGAGCAAGAGCTGGAGCTGAGCCCAGGGAAAAGAACCAAGCTGGAGATGTTTAAATTGCAATTTTAACCTCAAAGCAGCTTCAGCAGCTGGAGTTGGTGGGAATTCTTGCCTTTCTGAGTCACCTTTGTCTGGTGACATCTTCTTTCAGCACAGATGGAGTGTTGTGCCCATATTCCCTGTATCCAAATGAACTTTTTTCCCCTCTAAATTTGCTGTTGTGGGAATAATTTCTCTGTGGGGTCTCCCCTTGCTGTCTGCTGTGCTGGGAAATAATTTAAAGCCACAATCACCCATTTCTGCCCACGTGGGCTTATTTTGTATTGTTTGAGGATGTGGATAAAGCAGAGGGGGAACTGTTATTCAAGACCAGAGTCACCAGATCACTTTTCCCTTGCTTCTGAGCTTTATCTCCACCCTGGGGAATGAAGTTCTGGGAGCTGCTGAAAGGAGATGATTGCAGGGAGCACCAAGGGATGTGCTGGAAAAAATTAATGTGTCAATAGCCCTATAAATGGATTTTCAAAGGACAATTTGTGGTGCACATGGAACATCACAAATACGACAATGTGTGTGCTGTGCTTGGAAATTCATCCCTGTTGCCKCTCCCATATAATGTTTTTTCTAACCCAAAGCTGCGTTCTGGTGTTTTTCAGACCAATGAATGGCGTCTGAGCTGTGTCAACAAGGAGTTCTCTGTGTGTCCCTCCTACCCCCCTGTTGTCATCGTCCCCAAATCCATCGATGACGACGCGCTCCGCAAAGTCGCCCTGTTCCGCCACGGCGGCCGCTTCCCAGTGCTGAGCTACTACCACAAGAAAAATGGGATGGTGAGCTGGGTTTGAGGGKTGGTTGTGCCTGAAGGAAGTCTGTCAATCTGTTTCATACTCTGGAATTAACACAGCTCCTGGTTTGTTTTCCAGCTTCCTCAGTGAAGCTGCTTCTGGGTGATGGAATGAGTAMTCTCCATCCTAGAAATGGCCATGAATCTGCTTGTTTGGGAATGTGCATGGTATCAGCTTGCTTACAGCACTAAGAACAAGATGAGGCTTGTAAAGCTGCTGCTGGCACYCTGACTTGCCTTGGCTGCCAAGAGTTTTCATGGAAAAGATGGCAGGAGCCACACTGTCCTGTCTGTGAGTGGTGGGCTCTTGTTGTAGCCGTGGTGACAGCAGAGCCAGTGCTGCTTCTGCTGTGTGACTGTGCAAGGARGATCAGGACAATCTGTTCTCTGAGCCTGGCAGTGTCACTCCATTCAGGAGTAGCAAATTCTTKCTCTTGCACAAGCTTTTTGACAAGCCAGGATTTAACGGAGTGACTGATACATTGTAATTAAGAAATGCACTTTATGAAACTGCTGAGTAATTGTGTCTCTTGCTAATGTAACCATCTCTGAGGCTGCACAGATTTCCAACCTGCAGCTTTTAAACTTGGTACACAGTCTTTTCAAATCCTCTAACACTTTCTYACCTCCTGTGGCCAAGATTTCTAAGCTTTGAATTTGAAGCTGTCTAGTCTGACTTAGAYCTTGGGGTCTAAACTTGTGGTTTTTTTTGCTTTTCTTTAAAAGCAGCCATCCACCACCTTCATATCAGTTGTGCTTTTTGCTTTTTCTCAGCTCARCTGAAAACCATTTAAGGAAGATTTGCTCGATTATTTCTCCAAATTGGGCRTATTTCAGGTGTGAGRAGTACAAGAGTATTTGGCTCAGAGYGTTGGACTTGTGACAGTAATGCTGTCRCTCTCATTGCCCTCCTGGCTCAGAGTTCTCAACWGTACCTGGGGTTGCTGACTGGCTGCCCTCACATTTTAATCCTCATTTGAGCTGCTGGGGTGCTTCTGAATTGAAAGCCATTTGTTGAAGAGAAATTTCACCTTAACAGTCTGTGGACTTGAGGCTTATTAGTCCATCCATGGGGTAAAAAATGTCACCTTTAACACATAMACGATTTGAGTGTTTTAAGAACAGAGTTGGGAAGAGACCTTGAAAATTACAATCCTGAAAATAYTGGTTTCATAGAATCACAGGRTGGTTTTGGTTMGGAGGATCCTTAAAGATCATCCCCCCCATGGGCAGGGATGCCTCACCAGGTCAGGCTGCTCAGGGCYCCATCCAGCCTGGCCTTGAACACTTCCAGGGATTTATAACACTTCCAGGCTTTATGAAGGAGCCATCAGCAGGAAGGGAGCTCAGTAGTTCACAAAGATGGTACTTGAGGCACAACTGAAGGGATAAAACCTCTAAGGTAATGTTTGGAATTTAAAACTTGGCCAGCCAAATGATTGCTGGATTCAAAGATTCCTAGTTAATTTTTAGATACATTCAGCCCTTGCGAGGGATTGAACATAACTGAAGGATTCAAAGCAAAGCTTGGAGCTCAAGTTCTTGGTGCCTTTCAGTCAGAATTCTCTCCRCTTCCAGTGCCTCATTCATGGTTTTGTGTCTCCCCAGGCGATGATGAGGAGCAGCCAACCCCTGACAGGCACCAACGGGCGGCGCTGCAAGGAGGAYGAGAAGCTGATTAACGCCACACTCCGCTCTGGCCGGCGCGGCTTCGTCATCGACACCAGGCCTTTGGCTGTTGCCCAGCAGGCCAGGGCCAAAGGAGGGGGCTTTGAACAGGAAGTCCACTACCCYCAGTGGAGGAGGATTCACAAATATATTGAGAGGTGGGTGAAATCAGGCTCTGCCCTGAGCTCAGCTTTGTAGGGTCACACTGGCAGAACAGATACCTCCACAAATGATTTGCTTCCGTAAGAAGAGTTGTGTATCCTGGTTCCTGGCCACAGGGTTATGTTYCTTTTATAGCAAAACCAGGATATGTGAAGGATAAGGGTATTTTTGGTTTAGTTCCTTGCTCTGAGCAATCTGCTGCAGGTTTCAGCCATCAGGCATTGCCCTGTGCTGTTGCTTTTCCTGACCATCTATAGCCACACTCCAACCTTCCTGTGTCCCCCTTTGCAAAGGAAGCAGCAGGTATCTTGCCAAAAAACTTCTGCAAGTGAAGATTTGTTCTGTGCCTGTCACACTCCTCTTATCCAGAGAAGCTGTGGCTGCCCCTGGATTCCTGGAAGTGTCCAAGGCCAGGTTGGATGGGGCTTGGAGCACCCTGGGACAGTGGAAGGTGTCCCTGCCTGTGGCAGAGGGGTGGAATGAGATGAACTTTAAGATCCTTTCCAACCCAAACCATTCCATGGTTCTGTGATCCAGTACTTTTCTCTGGACATCTACTATTGTTCAGGGATTTGGAGACAAGTTACTGAATTAAACAGATTTTTAGTTTGACCTTGATCTACTTTCCTTAAGCCTTAATTTTGGGGAATCCTTCTACACAGACATACAGTTATGATACTGGAGCTGTAGGCCACCTCTTGAGGAGTTAAATAAGGAATTTCCTGGCAAATACTTGAAGTGTTTGGTTTTGCTTCTAAAGATTTTATGTGAACTTAAATTTGTTGTTGACCATYTTACAGCATCAGATAGAGAGGAAYGAATAAACYRCAATATGCAAACACTAAATAATCCMTGTCCTGGTTCATGCTTGTGCTTTCAACAATATTTTCCTTTCCCCAAAGGTTTAATATCCTGCAGGAGAGCTTCATCAAGCTGGTGGAGGCTTGTAATGACCAGTCACACAACATGGACCGCTGGCTCAGTAAGCTGGAAGCTTCCAACTGGCTCACTCACATCAAGGAGCTGCTGACTGCAGCTTGTCTGGCTGCTCAGTGCATTGACAGGTAAATCTACTGCTGAAAGGCTTGGGTTTCTCATTCACTGCTTGCAGATTGCTCATTAAATACCTCTGGTAGTATTAATAGCTGCCCACCGTGGTCTGGCTCACTTGTACCCGTGGAATATTCTGTTTCATCGTTGTGAAGGAATGTTCATCCAATAAATCAGGAGGAGGGAGGAAATCTCAGCTAAAGAAAGGTTTTGGATCGTGTGGTTAAGGTATATTCCTATGCCTGTTGCAGCCAAGCTAAGTTTTATTGAAGGTTTGGTTTAAAATGAGCCAATCTAAAATGCTGTTTGGTGGTCTGGAAAAGTGAGGATGCAGGGTTGTTTTCTTTCTTTAAGAAGTCTTGTTTTTCTTTTCAGCTGCAAATTTCCAATTCCCCACCTGACTTCCAGAGGTTAAAACAATGTCATCTCCTTGTTTTCCCCAGGACATGGTCCAGTGCTTTGCCCCTTTTATATTTTTATCCCCACAGCCCTCCCCAAGCAATGCTGCTCATCCCTTCTAAGTGCTTGTGACCTCTTTTAACCTGACATTTCTTTCACAAATGCTGCTGACTCAGCTGATTTGTGTTCAGACCTCAGGTTGGAGAGCCAAAGTTTGCTGTCAGGTGCCAGGGTTTGTTAGGCAGATGCAGGAATCTAAATGTGTTTTATCCGTGGCTCTGGGTGGGAAAAACCCATCCAAAAATTTAGGGAAACCCCGGGTTTTCATTACAGCTGGGGAATTTGTTCTACAGCTCACAAGCAGCTGAAATGCAGTATCAGTGGTGAAACAGCACTGCTGCATTAATATAGGAGCTCTGTGCTTTTTAAAAGCTCTGACAGTGCTGGTTTCATTACAGCCTGTGCCAGGAAAGGATTGCTCTGGATCAATACTTTTATTTGGAATTCCTTCCTGCAAGTGTACGATAGGAAAGATCAGTGACGAAACCCTTCTSGCTTGTTGGGACAGTGTCTGATTTCATCATTTTTAATCTCAGCTTTGCTTTTTGTGTTTACATGGAGCCATGGCAGATCAGGTCCAGGTGCCTGACCTGCCTCACTCAGAGCTGGAGGTCAGAGCTGGGCTCACAGAGTTCCTTTGCATTTTCCATTGGGAGGGAATGACCAGGACAGATCTTTCAGTATCTCAAAGGCCTGAAAGATGAAAGGGGAAAATAGTGTTAAAAATTAGTGTAGACAAAGGTGAAGATTAGGGAGGGAAGGAAGGTTTAGATTAAGTATTAGGGAAAAGCTCTGTATTATAACATTGGTGAGGCCTTGGCATAGGGTGCCCAGAGCAGYTGTGGCTGCCCCTGGWTCCCTGGAAGTGTCCAAGACCAGGTTGGATGGGGTTTGGAGCACCCTGGGACAGTGGAAGGTGTCCCTGCCCATGGCTGGGGTGGGATGGGATGAGCWGCACTTCCAAGCTGTAACTCCAGGGGTGCCAATTCCAAAGAGTGAGARYCACAGAGGAGCTCTCACTGTGCACTTCTGTCAGTGTGGGAAAGGGTCTGGGTTTCCAGGCTGCTCAGCAAGAAACTGAAGCAGAGCTCAGGTGAGAATCCAAGTGAGATCCATGTGGGCTCCATGTGGGATGGAGATGCAGTGATGTAAGGAGCCAGCAAAACCTCAGCACTCAGCACTGGTGTTCATAGGATGTAATGGCATCCACTGAGATGGGTTCTGCTCATTCATACTCTTATCCCTTCCCACTGTTTTTCTTTCCCAGGGAAGGTGCTTCAGTTTTAGTCCATGGCAGTGAAGGAACTGATTCCACACTGCAGGTCACTTCCCTGGCACAGATCATCCTGGATCCAAGGTGCAGGACCATCCATGGCTTYGAGGCTCTTGTAGTGAGGGAGTGGCTGCAGGTAAGAAATACCCCTGGACAGAGCAACAGCCTGTTCCAGAGACTCTGGGATTGGGAAATAGCCTGAGAGGCAGCAGACAGGTTGGGCCTTGTTGTAGCCCTGCTGAGAGTGAGTGTCTTTTGTCCTAAAGAGCAGCATTATTGCCTGAGTCATTTGTCCTTCTGGCACTCCTGGGGCCTCTGTCTCATGACAGGTTTGTGATTTTGGGGAACCGCCTGTTTTGTGTGCTGAGGGTGAACATCTCATGTCAARAATGGTTTGGGTTGGAAGGAACCTTAAAGATCATCATGTTCCAGCCCCCTGCCATCGGCAGGGACACCTTCCACTGGACCAGGTTCTCTCATGATCTCAGTATTTATCTCATTGGAGGAAATTGCTCAGACTAAACCACAAAACCAGAGTTGTGTTTTTGTACCTTTGCTCTGGTCCTTCAGTGCACCCACCTCAGCTTAYTCCTGCTCACATTCTCTGATCAAACACAGCCTGAGAAAGGCAGGGAAACTGGTCATAGAATCACAGAACTCATTAGGTTGGAAAATACCTTTAAAATTGTCAAGTCAAACCAGCCCCTGGCACTGCCAAGGCCACTACTAACCCATGGCCCTGGCTGCCACATCTGTATGACTTCTAAATCCCTCCAGAGGCAGGGACTCTACCACTGCCCTAGGCAGCTGTGCTGGGGTTGTACAGCCCTTTCCATGAAGAAATGTTCCCAATATCCAATCTAAACCTCCCCTGGCACAGCTTGAGGCCGTTCCCTCTCCTCCTGTCCCTGTTCCCTGGGAGCAGAGCCGACCCCCCAGACTGCCCCCTCCTGTCAGGGAGTTGTGYAGAGCCACAAGGTCCCCCCTGAGCCTCCTTTTCTCCAGGCTGAGCCCCTTTTCCAGCTCCCTCAGCTGCTCCTGATGCTCCAGCCCCTTCCCCAGCTCCGTTCCTTTCCCTGGACTCGCTCCAGCCCCTCCAGGTCTCTCTTGTCAAGAGGGGCCCAAAACTGAATCCCAGATTTGAGGTGCCCCAGCAGTGCCAGCACAGAAGGATAATGGTTTCCAACAGCTTGTTCCTGGATGCCTGAGCAGTTGCATGGACAGAAAGAGCTCTGAAATGGTTTTCTGCCACATGTCCTCACATCCTGTTCCTTTGTGTGTGTTGTTCTCTCTGGTTCCCACCAGGCTGGCCACCCATTCCAGCAGCGCTGTGCCCAGTCCGCCTATTCCAACAGCAAACAGAAGTGGGAGGCCCCGGTGTTCCTGCTCTTTCTGGAATGTGTGTGGCAGATCCACCGGCAGTTCCCCTGCTCCTTCGAGTTCAAYGAGCAGTTCCTCATCATGCTCTTTGAACATGCCTATGCTTCCCAGTTCGGGACTTTCCTGGGCAACAACGAAAACGAAAGGTTGGTGAGGATGARTCATTGAATCCTTTAAATGTTGGGCTGTGTTTGACAAAAGGGTCACAGAAGAATCATGGAATGGTTTGGGTTGGAAGGAACTTTAAAGATCATCTCATTTCAGCCCCCTACCATGGGCAGGGACAGCTTCCACTATCCCAGGCTGCTCCAAGCCCTGTCCAACCTGGCCAAAAATCTCCACCCATCACCAGTTTATTTAGTCTCTGACACAGAAACGCTTCCATAAAAGAATAACCTTGAGTCACAGCTGTGGGAAGCAACTTGTCCCTGCAGGCCTGGAGGAGAAGGTCAAGGCAGGCAGAGGCCACAGCTGGCAAATCCAGCCCTCACCTGTAGGGAGGAACGTGGCTCTGTAGCCTGGTGGTCCTGACACCTCCCTGGGAGTAGAAACAGAGAAACAGGGTGAAGGCCTGGATCTTCCCACAGCTGCCAGAGAGGTTTGGATTCCTGATTTGAGCTTGTCAGTTCTGCCCTCGGGACTCCTGATTCCAGTAAGGCCATGGCTGAAGGTCTCCTGCTGAACTGAAGGCCACTGAACAGGAAGGGAAAAACAGAAGTGATATTCCAGAGAAGGAAGGCAATTTAWACCTTCCTGTAAACCTCTTTGGCCTTAAAGTAATCTGGGTTTAGAAGAGACTCTGCTGCCTTCTGCAGGGCTGCTGAACCAGTCATCTGCAAAACTAAGTTAGACTTGAAACCAATAAGCTGGAATTTGGAGGAGTATTGAATGTTACATGTAATAACCTGCCTGTCAGATCTGAGCACGTCAGCCTGGGAGCACAGACAGGGCTTGAAATCTGATGTTAAGCTTGTGCTGTCTGAAGCATTCACAGGAGTGGTGAATCTCCTGCCTGGCTGGCAGTTCAATTTGCTAGTGCAGGCAGGATGAGATTGGCTGGAATCTGAGGCATAGGGATCCCTGTGTAACTCCTGGAGGTGGGATTTTCCCGGGAAAACAGCGCTGCTTGCTCGATATGCTCAGTTCCTTGCTGCCACCAGAGGGACCTGTCAGACGTGCCCATTCCAGCAATAACACTGCTTTCATGTGCTCTCGAATTCCATTGCCATCCTTTCCTGGTGCAGCCCTACYCCACCTCCCAGCTCTACCTTAACACAGGATCCCTTTGAAAACCCAGATTTGAAAMCTCAAATCTTCCCCTGGACAGCAAGCAGACAACTTCCACCCAACTTGTTATTTCCCCATCTTTTATTCAAAACTCRGTGTAATCAGCCAGGCTGAGTAACTTGCTTTAGGTTTACACCCTGTGCCATGATGGTGAAAGGTACCAAAGGGATTAACCTGAATTATCTGCAAGAGCAGATAATTAAATAATAAATAATAAAACTTGAGGCCTTCTGGTGTGTGTGGTTCTAACAAGAGCCTTCCAGATCCAGGTGTATAAAACTGACTTTTTCCTGTGGGTTTCTTAGGGCTAAACTGAAGCTGCCTCAGAAGACCATGTCCCTGTGGTCCTGGGTGAACAGGCCTGAAGAACTGAGCCGGTTCCAGAACCCTCTTTATGAGGCCAACAGCCTTGTCATCTGGCCCTCTGTTGCCCCRCAGAGCCTGCAGCTCTGGGAAGGTGAGCCAGCTTTGATTTTCTTGTTTCAGACAATATTTATTTTGTGATTATTTGTCAGTCTTCACTACTGACCATTGTGGAGAATCTAGGTGCAGTGGGCTCCCTGCTGCAGAAGCTTTCTCCATCCCATGGRTGCTGAGGTGTCAGTGACAGTGACWTAAACAGGCTGACAGGGTRGAGACTKRAAAKGGARTGGTCTAGTAAATATATGAGGAAAACAGGAATGAAACCCCCTCATTCTTCATTTATTAATCTTGTTTAGTAGAATGGTGAACTTGGAGAAGAGGGAGGGAAACTATTTAGGGGAAGGGAAAGAGAAGAAAGTGTGAGCTGTGTGCACCTTAWCTGAGAGCTGCTGGAATGTGAGCAACCTTCATGAACCCTTGTGACCTGGCTGTCTCTGGGTTTCCAGGTGTCTTCCTGCGGTGGAACAGGCCTTCCAAATTCCTGGAAGAAGCTGAAGAAGAAAGGATCAACATTATCAGGTACAACAAGGAGCTGCAGGCCAAGGTGAACGCGCTGAGGAGGCAGCTGGCAGAGCTGGAGACGGAGGAGGACGCCCGGGAGGAGGTGGAGGTGCCCTGAGCTGGGCTTTGCCTCTCTGGCCTTTGCTTCCCAGCCCCTTTTCATTGAGGAAGAAACATGGAAAGTGCATGTTYTGCTGAGCCCTTGGGTACAGCTGACCCTTCCAGTGCTGAGCCCTTCACTCCATGAACCTCCCTGCTCTTTGGGGAGGGTTTTTTGTTTTGTTTACAGAAGACACAGCTGGGCACAATGTCCTCTCTTGGCAGCTTTTCTGTCTCGGAATTGGGTACAGTGTCAGCAGAAGCTGGAACTCTTTACCTCCAACTGTGTGGATGACCAGGATGGGCCAAGAGATAGGATGTCTCCGATTTATTTTGGACTTGTTCTGCTTTGTTGAACACTCACAGGATTAAAATACAGAGTTCTATATAGATAGGTAAAGGCRTTTTGTCTGAAAGCACCTTTTCTCTCCAGGAGTAGGTAAGGCAGATTAGTTCTTTAGTTTCCTAGGAAAACTAGAAATGGTTAAAATCAAATTACAGGCTCTGCCCATCTGCACAACACTCTCAGTAGCCCTCACATCTCATACTTGGGTTTTTGTGTTCAGCATTGGCTTGGGAGTAGGAAGTTAAGTACCAAACCAGAGCAAGACATTTCAGTGCAATACAGAATTGAAGTAGGGATTCTGCTGCTAATGTTTAAGCCATGACCTTCAGGTGGAATTGTCCCTTGTGGACAAGAATCTCCTAAGGAATTACAAACTTTTTTTAATCTACCTGGGAAACAAAAAGGTTTAGTAGCTGGTGGAGGTGTTCACTTGCAGAACAGGRCTCAGAGCTGTCCTTTGAACCAGAGCCAAACTGCCTTCTTGGAAATGTCAACCCCCCCTGGCTGGGTTTGGACACCTGGCCAGGTTCACAGCATTGCCAGGGTGCAAGAGCAGCACTTCATTTACAACGCAACAAAACACTTTTGTTCCACCTGATGTGCATTTCCTTCTTGTGCTCTTATGCCCATGTTGTGAAACCTCAAAAGCAGAAGCTGGAAGTTCAGTTGACCTCACAGATCTGCTGCAGATGAAGGGGCCATCACACTACAAAAAATACTAAGAGTTTAGATGATTTGTAGCTGCTAAAACTGCTTAAGAACTTTAGGGATAAGCTTTTTCTCATTTAACTTTGTATTTTATAGCTGCTCTTTTTGTTTCTGTGGCTTCAATGTGCTTTTTATAAAATCAGAGTTCTCGCTAGTGATTTTTTTTTCTGCTTTAAAAAGAAAGGTGGGAGTAGGTGTGAAATACTCACCGAGGCATTTTTTTCACCTTGATTCCTTGGACAGCTRTACAGGATGGGGAAAAGTTGAATTAACAGGAAGACACGTGGCTGGGATTATCCAGAAGAGATTTTGCTGTTAGCCTGGTTCTGTTGAAATGAACAGGGCTGTGCTAGGTCAGTGGTGTGATCCCTTTGGAAACTGTTGAGCTTCCAGTTGAAGGAATGAAGCTGCCTTTTTTTAAAAGCCACTTCACATAGATACGTGTGAAAATGCAGGATCTTTACTTGTCATAGCTGTAGCTGGAGAAGAACCTGCAAAAGTCATGTAGCCACTAAATATAGTCTGAGAAAGTTCTATAACCTATGAAGTGATACAAAACTATGTGACAGTGGTCAAGTGCTACCTTAATGCCTTTTGTTCAGTCCTTATTTCCTTAATTATTTCCTTCTTGCCTAAACTAAACTTAGCCCTGAAGTCCTCTGGCTTAAAAAATAACAAGATTCCTTTTAAACCATTGCTCACTTAAGGCAGAAGAGTTATTCCCCTTCTTGTGATGCCAATTTTTTTTAAGGTTTGGAGYCTTGTTCCCTAAATCCAGTCTGACACAGGGAATCCTGCTGGGGATCTGTTCTGCATAACAGGGGAGGTACAAGTGGGCTGTTCCCTCCTCCAAATCCAGAGATACCTCTGGGTMTGTTGCTCATGTAAGCCCTTAAAGTGATTGTTCACCCGTTAAAATGATGTCTTTGGTATCTGCACCTGCCTGGGTGGTGGTTCCCTACCCCATTCAGAWTTTCTGCAGCTGAAATCCATTATCCCCAGCCAGATGGGAAGGATTCAGAAGGCACTATTTTCCCTGTAATAGGCTATACATAAAACACTCCTAAAGGTTATGCAATTCCCTAACACAGTAATTATAGATTGAGCTAAATAATAGAGAAGCAGAGAGGGTTTTTTTGGATATAATTGCCTGGCTGCTTCAGCCTCTCCTGCAAACTGCAGGCTTCCAAGGAAATTGGGAAACCAGCTGTGACAGCCAGCAAAAGGCAGCACATTCCCTCTGAGCTGGCATTCATTTCAGCCTGCACTTGTGTTGAATCCACACCCAAGTGCTGTGTGTGCCTCGGGAATGTGGAGCACAGCCTTCCTGTGGCAGTGCTGGAGTCCTTCTGAGCTGATCCAGGGGTTTATTCCACAATTCCCGGGCTGTGCAGCACCTTGTCCCTGCACAGGTTCCATGGCACAGGCCTGGGAGGGCTTGCAGGAGATGAAGTGGGGCAAAAAAATTTGTGGTGGTGTCGATCTTCCTGAGAGAGGACACTTCCCAGAGCTCTGCTGCCACATTCCCTTTCAACTTCCCCATTCCCAGTGCTTCCCAGGCTCCAGACATKCAGCAGAATGCTCCCGTTCTTTGCTTTGCTGCTTTCCTTCCCTATTTAATCACATCTTTACTATCACTGATGGGTGTGCTCCCTCTCAGAGGGGGATCCCTGGGATTCCCACAGATTCCCTGTGTCCTCCCGAGCTCTGGCTCTTTCCTGTGCCACTGCCTTATGCCCTCGCTGCCACCCCATTCCTGCTCTTTTGCACACACTCTTTGTGTAACAAGCTGGACACTGAAAGCCCCATCTCCAAATTTTTGGGGGCTATCCATGAGGACACTCTGCCATTTACCAAAAAAAGAAAGAAAAGAAGAAGGGAAAAGGAACTAACTTGCACAGTTTTCATAAGGGAAATAAGAAATATGTACCTTCAATATTTTGATTGTATTAACTCTTGAATGTGGCGCTGGTTTTGCCGTGCACTATTGTCCCCGTTGCATAGGATCTCATTTAAAATTGCACTGTACAGCATTTTTGGTGTCTCATGTGTGCTTTGCTAAAGCCTTGGGAAGTGCTCTCGTTGTGAGGGGAGAGGTTTATCCCAGCACTYGCTGTGTTTTGTGACAGCAGCACTGTGCAACGTGTGCTCTGTATCTGTTCACTGCTGCCAGTTCAAGTGATGAGTACACTACTGTCCCAACATCTGGAACTGCTCTATGGACTTGGCTGCTGCATCATTCTTGATTTTTTTTTTCTTTTCCTGTAAAATTTGAAATGCCAGGGCTGGGAGTTGTGTGCTGGTGTTAGGTATTTGCTGTCTGTGTACAGAATCCCAGCTGCTGTGGTGCAGAATTTATTGCAACAAAAAAAAACAAAGTAACGAGTGTGAGGAAAAAGAAGATGATGGCTCAAGGTTCAGCCATTTGGGGGGAGCAAAACAGATACAAAGTGGCTGTAAACTTTGCTGTAGATATGTTGAGAACATAGTAGATGTGTCTGTTTAAATTAAAACATTGAAGACTAAAAAGTTCTTTAATTACACTGGTGAATCTTCTTTTTTAGTGTGGCCTTGGCTTTCCACAGGAGGGATGGGGGTGGGTGTGACTTGGATGAAGCCCGGAAATTTTAGCTCTTTTCAGCTCATTTGTGTTTTATTTTACAGTGGTGGTAGAAGAGGGRTGAAAAGAGAAGGATGAGACCCTGAGCCTGTGAGGGGCTTGCAGAGCTCTGCTCTCGTGGTTTTGGGCCTCGGACAGCAGCTCTGCACGGGATAGATAAAATGTTTGATTATCCAAGGTTTTATATTGGTATTGGTCTGTTTATCCTGGTATTGCTCTCTCCAAAGGAAGCAGGGCAGGAGTGTTCACAGGGAGAGGGATTTAGAGTGAAGCAAAGCCTTGCAAGAAGGTGGAGGGTGACAGGACARGGGGGAATGGTTTTAAGCAACACCAGGAGAGATTTAGGTGARATATWGAGAATAAATCCTTCCCTGTGAGTKTGGGGAGGCCCTGGCACAGGGTGCCCAGAGAAGYTCTGGCTGCCTCATCCCTGGAARTGTCCAAGRCCAGGTTGGATGGGGCTTGGAGCAACCTGGGATAGTGGAAGGTGTCCCTGGTCATTGCARGGGGTGGGAYKRGATGTTCTTTAAGATCCCTTCCRACACAAACCATTCTGTGACTCTGAAATCCATCAGTGACTGGGGTCACAGTTTCCTGTTGGTTTTAAGGCAGGGGTGCCAGGGGAAGGAACACAAAAAGGATAAACAGCTCCTGGGAAATGGAGGCTGGGAGCTGTGGGAACTCCTGGCTGGTGAGTCAGGAGGCTGGGAACTACTGGGCCATCTGTTTCCCTGTGGCATCWTTGTGGTCTCTGCAGCTCCTGGGGAAGCTGGTGAGTTTTTGTGGCTTTTGGGGTTTGAGCCAGACGGAGACTGGGAGTGTTTGTGCTGCCCTGCAGCCTGTGCAGCCTGTGAGATAACACAGGGATGGGTGCTGAAGGTTTTGATGTGAAAAGATTGATATTCAGCCACTATTTGTGCAAAAAGTCACAGCTGAATCAGAGTAGGTCTGGTTTAAATATTTTCRGCAGTGATCAGGCAGTCTGATTTGGGTTAAACTTGATTTTTGGAGAGGGGGAATAAAATAACTAGAGAATCACAGAATGGTTTGGGTTGGAAGGGACCTTAAAACTCATCCAGTTCCACCCTCTGCCATGAACAGGGACACCTCCCMCTATMCCAGGCTGCTCCAAGCTCATCCAGCCTGGCCTTKAAYACTTCCAGGGGTGYGGAATCCATCTGACCAAGTGTTGAAATTAGTTTTTAATTTTGTTTTTGAGAAAGTYGKTTTTTTTCTTCTTTGAAATCCCAATTATTTTTGCTTTGTGCCATTGTAAGAGTCTCTTCCATGCTGCCTTTTTTTTTCCTCCAGCAGTGAGAGAAAAAACAATGAGGTGGAATTCCTATTGCACTGGATGTAACTCGGGCWTCTGGGCTGTGCTGGGCTGTTCACAGCCTCCCCTGCTGTGGAAATGTCACCACAAGCCTGTGGCATTTGTCTCACAGAGCTGAGCTGATGATCTTTTGATGTTCTCTTGGGAGGCTGTTGCTGATGGCTTTGGATGCTTTATCAGATGCTGCAGGTCAGCTCATGGAGGCTTTGCTCTTAAAGCTCCAAATCTGCTCCCTCAAGATCTTGAAATTCTGGCAGACAACATGGGCACAGATGTACTTACACTGCTAAAAACACAGCATGATTGCTAAAATCAGGTTTCTTACAGCTTTTACAGCTGGTTGTAACCATTTACTTCCCAGTTCATCCTAGTTCTGTACAGGGGGATGGTTTCAGGGTTGAAAGGTGTAGCCTGTGTGATGGAAAAAAAGGCTCTTTTGGCATAAGAAGGTGGAAGAGATAAAGGAAATCTGCTTCCTGCTGCACTTGCCTGACATGGAAAACATTTCTCAGGATGCCCCAACAAGGTAAGTGCAGCATTGCAACA